CCCTGCCTGCCGCCCAGCAGCTGCCCTCCACCTCCGCTTCCCTGCCAGCTGTGGTCAAGAGCGAGTTTGTGGCTTCCAGTTGCAGCAGCGGGTGTGAGCCGCTCTCCACAGCCGGAAACGACGCACTGTACCCTTCCAGCGCGGACTCGCTTTTGCCGCTGTCAGCTCTGGAGCAACAGGTAGATGTGGCGGATCTAATCGACTCGCTTCTGAGCGCTGACGCCGCACAGGGAGACCTGAAGCCCGCATGCGAGGTGAAGCAGGAGCCGCTGGGGCTGGAGGACTGGCTGAAGAGCCTGTCCGCCGCTCCCGTTACCGGGGGAGATTCCGGCAGCTACGTCATCAACAGACCGCCGATAAAGACGGAGCTCGTGCAGAGCGGGAGCGACCTCCACTGCGCCCCCTCCTCCCTCCCCTCAACCCTCGACTCCCAGCTGCTCTCCTCCCTCCTGCAGGGCGTGTTCCCGATAGTCAACATCGGCGGCGTGCACGCGGCAGCAGCCCCCAAGCTGTCGCGCGGAGGCAGGCGAGCCCCCGCGAAGGGGGGGCCGAAGGCGAAGCCGTTCCCGTGCTCCGTGCAGGGCTGCGAGCGCCGCTTCTCGCGCTCCGACGAGCTCAACAGGCACGTGCGCATCCACACGGGACAGAAGCCGTTCCAGTGCACCATCTGCGCGCGCAGCTTCAGCCGCAGCGACCACCTGACCACGCACACGCGCACGCACACCGGAGAGAAGCCCTTCTCCTGCGACGTGTGCGGAAAGAGGTTCGCGCGCAGCGACGAGAGAAAAAGGCACGGGCGCGTGCATGTCAAGCAGCAGCTGCGCGCTCAGATGATGGCCGCCTACTCCCTGGCCCTGAACGCGCCTGGCGTCTAAAAGCGAAGAACAACAGCAGGCGAGCTCGCTCAGAGCTTCAGGATTTGAACCGTCTACCGGAAAGCGTCCGAGACACCTTTCCACATAACGTCACATCGTGGGCGATTTTGGCTGGACCCGAAAGAGGAGGAGGACGTGCCAGGCGTTTACAGGTGTTCGGGGGACTACCAAGTGCACGTTTTGGTTCCTCTCAGGGCGCATGCGCAAGCGCGGTCCTGCAGCTGGACTGTGAGCAGGGCCGCACAGGAGAGGGCTGTACCGCAGGTGCCACTGACGTGTTTCCTGTCTGCGCCCGTCTGCCTGCTTACTGTGGTGGACTGTTAAAGGAGCAGTCCGCTGCCCGCTGGGAGGTTTCTCCTGTAAAATACCAACCTGTGACTTTTCTGCATGAGGACGTGAAGAAATGTAGACGTCAGAATGTCGTGCTTTGTTTTGACTGCTATTTTTATGTGAACATCTTTATATTCGAGGAGTTCTATGTTTGTAAGATAGCTCTATTTTTCTAGATGGCTCGTCTACCTCTTCGTGTTTACAATCAGATTGTATATATTTCTAAAGATGAATGTGCTGCGATGTCACTCTTTCTTTTCTATGAGACTGATTATGAAACCAACGCCCGCGTCTTTGGACGCTGACTGAACTTTATATTACTGCGGGTGCAGGTCTGAGCTGCACCGGTGCATCGTGTTGTTTGTACTGTGACGGTGAAAAAAAAAACAACTGAACACATACCAGCTCAGTGAGAGCTGAGCTCCAAGTAGCACACATGGCTGTGCAGGTTTACTGTTCCCTCGTTCTGCATGGAGGCTGCTGTCGCTGTCAATAAACAAACAAACAAAGAGTGAGCGTGTCCGACTAATTCTTCTGCTGCTTCATAACACAGCCCACAGGTTAGGGTCTAATTTATATGGGTCTGTGGGGGGGTTCAGGCTCTCTTCACTCAGAGGGGATATGAGGGGGCACTCTGTGTTTTTCTTTGATTTCCACACACTCACCAGGGCAGACACCCCTGATCTCAACCTCAACTTCTTTAATTA